CATGGTCAAAATAGCAAGATCGCAAGTGCAAGCACGTGCGCTTCGCTCTGATTGGCTGAAACTAAAGTCTCAATATCTTTCTTGTTTTTTGATAAAATCATTTGAAATTTTGAACATAGTCATACATTAGGGAGATCTACAGCCCGTAATAAAAGAAATATCATGAAATCATGTGCATGCACGTGTGCTTGCAAGAGCTCGCACGTGCAACACGAGAAATGTCCAATATAATTGATACAGACGTAACTATTTAAATTATTGATGATATGCTTTAAAACTCATATTAGAAGTATATATTAGAAGCATAGACAAGATGACATGGTCAAAAAAGCAAGATCTCACGCGCATGCACGTGCGCTTTTTTCTGATTGGCTGAAACTAAAGTCTCAATATCTTTCTTGTTTTTTGACGAAATCCTTTGAAATTTCAAATATAGGCATGCATTAGGATATCCTACAACATGACATATAGCAATTATTTTGAAAACGCGTGCATGCACGTGCGCTGCAATCTGATTGGCTTATGCTTTAAATAGCTATAACTCCCTTGGTTTTCAACCAAACAGGATGGGATTTGGAACATGGATAGATATAATGGACTTCTACAAGAAGACATGGTCACCATGCACATGCATACACGTGCATGTACGTGCGCTGCAATCTGATTGGCTGAAACTTTGAACAGCTATAACTCCCTTGGTTTTCAACCAAACATAGATAGATGTAATGGACTTCTACAAGAAAGTATGGTCGCCATGCTCATGTGAGCACGTGCGTGCACGTGAAATGAGTAAAATCAAAAATACACTTGAATTAATACGTTTGGATTAAATACTTTGATATTTAGTATATTGAAATCTATAGATTGTGAAGACAAGATTATATGGTCATTACGCAGGTGCATTCACATGCGCACGCGTGCAACGCTTGCAATGCTAAAATTTGAATGAAATTGGTACACTTCTGGGTAAACGTTGTTAAAGTCTCAAATGCATAGAATTTGTCTTATTTAATGAAACTTATTGGGAATATGGCACCAAAAGGGAGTTGGGGAGCGTTTGGGGAACATCTGTAACGGTCCCCGTTACAATTAGCACTAGTTTACTTTTCCTTGCGCTGTGTATTTGGACTATCTGTTGGTTGAGGTTTGTTGTCACGAAATTAATGCAGAAAATTCAAAAAAGTATTGTTGTTATACGAATATATAATTAAATATCTTTACAACAACCAAAACTTTACAAAATGACAATCATTATAATCGTTCTGTGACATCGAAACCCTGAGATCTCTGTAGAATATAATCTTGATAATGATTTTTTTTTTCTTACCAAAATAAAATGCCTTAGGATAAAGTAACAATAGGTGTTTTTTTTTTTACAGTTATGCTGTTTCAGTTAGATTTTATCTTCGCATTCGTTCACCTGATTGTTTGATTGTCATCGGTTTCGGAGTGGAATGGTAATAGTAATAGCGAAAAAAAAGTTCTTTTATATCCGGACAATGAAAACTGTTCCCTTTGAGGTAAAATACCATGTTTGCCAAAAAACAAGATCAGCTGATCTCTTTCAAAACACTGACACAATGCGAGTGTTTAGAAAAGTGGAATGTCACATATAATATAGAACGGTTCACAATAGGTACTCGGTGACCTGTTAATTTAGTCGTCCGCAGTTTGGGGACATATTTAAAAACTAAGATATGAGCTGCAACTTGTACAACATTGTCCTTTGGATATGTTTTAGTTTAAAATAAAAAACACAATCTGTGCAAATGAGACCACTGGACTAGTTGCGGCTAGATGTAAACAATGTTGCTGAAAACTGGAATGTATATGAATAACGATAGAAATGTGACAATACTGCTAGACCCCCTCTCAAAAGCTATTGCCGATCTTTAATTCTTTCATGTAAATGCTGTTTATAACATTGAAAGTCTTGCCTTAGCGTGTGGACATGAGAGCCGTACGTCCTGCAAAACGTAAGTTTTTACACTTATAAGGCAATCCTTACCGTGTGTACCGGCCCTTAGTCAGACTTATGAGGCTCGAAAAAACCGTGTATTAATGGTGTACACACGGTACGGCTAGAACTTAAGTTCCATGACTTATGAGGCAAGCCTTATCATGTGTACCGGCCCTAAGGCAAGACTTACTTAAGCATTGAAGTATGATAATTTGTCGGCACGGCAAGGTGTGTTATAGGACCGAAGACATCCCAAAATATAAATTCAATGCTTATATTTACATTTTCTAATTTTATCTCTTCATAATTCTTTATTTTGCTTATCTTTAGTGTGAATTTAGCGCCCTTCAAAACTGGTGTGCTTTATAGACGTAAGAGCCGTTTGTGTCGTTTGTGACGGTGCAAAGTTAATTAACGCGAACGAACATTGCGAGGAAAGAAGTGACAAATTTATTTTAAACGCACATTTTTTGTATTTTTACGTTAATTTAACAGGGTTAATTTTTTTTTATTAAATTGTGTCAAAACAATGTACATTTTTGGTATTCCTAGAGTGTTGAAATGTATATAGTTGCTACAAAATAGGTCTGCTAATAACGGGGCTCAATTATTCAAAACTGACATGATTTGCACTGTTTCTGGCTCCAAAAAGCATAGTATTTCTGTAAATATTGTTTATAATCTTGAAAGTGTTGCCTTAGCGTGTGTACACGAGAGCCGTACGTCCTGCAAAACGTAAGATTTTACCGCCCTAAGTCAGACTTGTTAGGCTCGAAAAAGCGTGTATTAACGATGTACACACGGTAGGCTAGAACAGAAGTACCATGACTTATAAGGCAAGCCTTACCGTATGTGCCAGCGCTTTTATGCCCCCCCCCCCCCCAGACAAAGTGCCGAGGAAGAGTAAGAATCTCCTGATGCCTGTCACACCTGCTGCACATGTATGTCATATGCATTGATCAAGTTGACGGAAGATATGGTAATCAAATGTAATACAAAAACAAAGCAAGAACAAGTCTTATGAAACAAGCAAGTCAGAATATATATGCACAGTGATAGGTTATACTCCATGGCACATGGTCCTACCTCTGATGTTTTGGAGGTCCGTTTTTGCTTTGCTCCTATATTTTGTATTGTTTTAAGGACTTTTGATCTTGAATACTGTTCGTTATCTCCCCATGATTCCTTGCTTAAACAAGGTCATAATAACGACCAGAGAATTTACGAAATGCTGACTTTAAACAAGGTTGTTGAAATTCCTGTGACTTATCTGCCAGTTGCCTGTCATGGTTGATACTGGAATATTAATTCATAAATAATAAATGTTAATGATGGGAAAAGTGGAATCATGAAACATATGGAGATAACGAACAGTATTCAAGATCAAAAGTCCATAAAACAATACAAAATAGGAGCAGAGCAAACACAGACCTCCAAAACATGAGATTTGGAATCAGGTGCCATAGAGGAGTTATTATCCCCTGCCGACCGGTCACACCCGCCGTGTGCTCCTTGTCATGGTCGGGAAATAACGGGAAAATCTGTCGTCAATTCAATGTATAAATAATGGACTAACAATTAGTATGAAAAACCTGAGACAGCATCTCGTTTGTCATTTAGTCGTTATAAGTCGCCTTTAACGTCTTCAATTAATAAAACTACCAAATAAATAGATGAAAGAGATCTAGCAGACTTTGAGGTGTCTTTTCTTTCAAGTTCACTATAAATGGAACAGTTATTTTTAATAAATAAAAAGTTGTTGATATATCTGAATGTCGTGTAGAAGAAATGAAAAATTGTGAATAAATTATTCTCCATAGGAATTCAAAACCATTAATAGTAATGGTAATATAATAGAGGAAGGCAATTCGTGCTAATCAGGATTAAAGATGTTGTTGAGGTCCTTGTTTGCCACGCTTCTATTCCCTATTGTTCCTTGTTTGTCAGGGTCCTATGTCCTATTGTCCCACGAGACTTTTGGATTTGATAAAGTTCAATTCTTTACCTTCACACTTCTTTCCAAACATAAATGACATTTCAGACTTCAATTTAAATTCCAATCAGACTTTTAATTGCACAATAAACAAGCGTACTCTTGTAGATTTAAAAGACTAATGCATATATTTAGGGCAAGGTGACCTATTTGAGTTCGAATGATTTAAATTTACTTCCTTTCTAAGTATTTGGTGAACTATTTCAGGCTAATTTTTTAAAAAGAAGATTTAAAAAAAAACTGGAACACAAATTATCAAACACAAAATTTTCGTCAAATGAATTTTCATCTAAACTATTAGCTTTACTTATAAAATTTATGTACAAAGATTGGTATCTTTACGCATATATATTTGTATTTTCACCCATGTTGATATGAAACCAAATACAGAGCTCATTAAGTCAGACATATTTATACAAATCGTTTGATTCTATTTATAATGGTGGCATAAAAAGAAAACATCCGCCTGATATTTTTCTCTCTTTTTCTCCGTGTGTTTGAGTGAGGGTGTGATGTGTTTTCGTGCAGAAGCATGGATATCAGTGATAATGCAGTGCAACTATACTTGTTCAATTATCGATATTATGTCCAGTAAAGATAAGGGAAAAATTGCAATTTAACATTTAATGACAGTTTTGCTTACATTTAAAAGAAAAATAATGGCGTGGATTTTATTCTACGAGAGCAAAAAATAAATTTATTTTAAAAATCGTTTAACCCAATGCTAATTTTACACAATAAAATTTGTTTTTAGAGTTTAAAAAATTGATTAAATAGTAATCACTAGAATTGAACAACGATTTTTAAAAAAATTGCATCATTAAATGCAAACTGCAAATTTAAACGGAAAATATATCAAATTTCAGTGTTTTTGTTATTCGCACCACTAACTTTTCTAAATAGAACTATTTGAATACGCAAGTAAGCAAGTACATTCTCGTTCACTGATTTAAATACATTAAACTACTTCACATGTCGTTCATAATTCTCAACGACATTGAAACTTCCTAGTTCAAGTTTCCTTTTGCTCTCCATTATCCCTTTTAAATTTGACAAAATGAAGAATAATCTCATCCTTGTATTCATTTTACAATATATGAAGGAAATTGGATGCTGCAATAACTTATGTGAATGGAGTTCTTGGACTCAGCAAGGGGCTTGTGAAAACAAGAGAATGTTACAGGAGAGGACTTTATGTTGCCCATCGAAAGAACAGAAAAACTGCCTTGAAGTTTGTAGGAGGGATGTGAAGGATTCTTTTCGATATGTCCAATGTGACTTAAGTAAGAATCATATTGATTTACACATGCAGGAGAGGGTTGAGAAAAGGAAATTATACGATAATATTTCCATTTCTAATTTTTCTCTCTGTGATAACTCTTTGAAAGTTAGAGGAGTTAATTTCTTAACAATTCTGCCAGCATGTAAATTAGGCAGGTCGATAGGTCAGGAGCTAAGAAGGCCTAGCATGCATGCAAATCTCGTGCGCATCTGTCTCTGTGTCTGACGCTAAGGAGGCCAGATATGCATGTAAATCTCGTGCGGCTTTCTTTGTGTTTGACGTCAGTGGGCGACGAGTATTGAAATTGCCATGGGAGTCGTCGTGTAATTGAAACCTATGTCTACATTTTTAAAGTCTAAATGTACAATTTTATTTCACAATGATATGGAAATATAAGGAATCACTGTCTAGTTAGTATAGTATGCCAGGGACATCAACGACAGTGGGAAACATGGGATAATTTATGCATAACGGGCTTCGCCCGTTATGCAAATTATCCCATGTTTCCCACTATCGTTGATGCCCTGGCATACTATACTAACTAGACAGTGATTCCTTAATTAATAAGAGTAGGTAAAAATATCTAAAATCATGTACTGAAACATTTACATTTTTCAAACTCAATTTAATATTAAATATTCCTTAGATGACAACAAATGCCAACAGTTATCTTAAATGAAATTATATTTTAATAAATAAAACTCTTTATCTCTTCTTTACTCTAAATCCCATTTTGACTACATTTGAACGTTTAACTACAGAAATCATTTTCTGAATGAACTCTACATCAGAGAACTTTCATTTCATCTTGTCTAATATTGTCTTTATTGAAGTGCAAAACTTTTTTAAAAAATATCAAATTCTAGTATTTTAACATGCACGCATTTGAACACATTTGGTACAACTCACCAAAGCCGATTTAATTTTTTTTATTTCGAACACAAAAAATGGGTGGAAAGCCAGTCTTGGCTATTCTTTGAAATACTTGAAGCTAAGAATGGTTTTCTACCCATTTTCGTTTTCAAAATTAAAAAAAAAAATAATAAATAGGCTTTAGAGAATTGTGCCAAATGTGTTCAAATGCGTGCATGTGCTTTAATATTTATACAAACCAAATATTTTATCTTTCTTTTATTATTTAAAGTACTAGAATTTGATTTTTGTAAGTTTTGCACTTCAATAATGGTGAACAAGACAACATCAGGCAAGATGAAATATATAAGGAATATTAAATTTTTTAAAATTAAGTTTGAAAACTGTACATGTTAGTACATGTATTTTAGATATTTTTTTTAGCTACTCTTATTATTATCATCGTATAATTTCCTTTTCTTGGCCCTCTTTTTCATGTGTAAATGAGTTGGGTTTTTTTTACGTTTTAGTCCAAATGGGGAAGTCAGTCCCAAAATAATAAAGTACTTTTCATTTATTTGATTTCATATGATTTTTAGGTTTACAATTCTTTCCCGTTAAAACAATTTGGAACACTGTGTACATGTATGAATTCATAGTCTCCCTTTTTAAAAGCTATACATTGTGTAATACAGTAGGGAATCTTTTGTTGATTTCAAATAAATTCAATTTCTAATGTAGAAACACCTGTGTTTGAAAAATATGAACTGGAATCGTCCTCGGCAATGGCATTCTTCAATTCTCTTTCTCATCGACGACAAAAGAGAGGCGTGTCCGAGGAGTGTCGAGAGGGGTGTAGCTATGAGGAGGTCGACGAAGTGTATCATTGGTCATACGTGGTGAGTTCTACCTTACCCATTTACAAATCGTAGCCAGCGTGGCGCAGTCGTAGAGTGTCTGCTCTAGAGTCGCGGAGTAAGGAGTTACTACTGATTTTGAGGGTTCAAATCCCACTGTGGGTCGTGGAAACCGGTCTTTCGGATAAGACCGTATAAACCGAGGTCCAGTGTTGCTAAAATGCTTGCACGAATAAAATCCCTCAGCGCTCACTGGCCCTGGTGCCGAGTATAGGTCAACATTTGCAGCTCTCCACCAGAACCTGGTGGTGTCTGCATATGAGTGAACATTTCTCAAAAAGTACGTTGAACAACAACCAAGCAAAACATACCAGAAATTCGAATTGTATATTTGACAAACTTTTCGAAGCATTAAATGAATATTGTTTATTGACATCCTCTTCAAAATATATATCGGTAATAACGTATACTTTGGAAACATTTGCAATAAAGAAGTAAACTTCACGATGTTAATTCTGAAATTGGGGGGAAACGACACGTCACTATTAATGAACTA